CGCAAATGCCTTGTAGTATTTCGGCACGAAGGTTCGTCTACAACACTTACAGCAAATGTCCAGCAATTTCATTGCTCCCTTCCAATCATGCCCTCCCCTGAAGGATACACCTTGTGACGATTGCTAATCTAACCGCCGGATGGTGTAAGCTCACTTGGAGGGGAAACAGGAACCACGATGTCGACAAGGCTTAAAATCCTCCGGATTTAAGCCCACTTGACTCGTAGGATAACAGATATCGTGATTGAAACGAACGTAAAGCGATTGATAGAAGGCTATTTTACTGGGACGAAACATTTCCAAGTCACAGATTTCTACCAATGGGTGGATTAGTTTAAGCACCTCAACACGGCCAAGTTTGCATTCCTCATCTCAGCTCCGCCGCTCTGCCTTCCGAAGAACACGGTGTAAGCGGTGAAAACGAACCAACCGATTAATCCGATGCGGTTTATTCACACAGAACGATTGAATAGGACTGTGGATAAAAGACTAAGGGGTAATAAACTAAAACCCTAATTTACTGCTTAAAAATGGGACGAGGATTACATGTCAAAGAGGAGAAAAGGAGTGCCATGCCAACGATTGTCTGATCGACACTAAGGGAAAGCGGTGAAACAAAAGCTCAGTTCCCTTGCAAATCATCGAAATGACAAGAATGTGCATTCTTGGGAGGCAAATAATGAAAACACACATCCAGCTACACATGTATAGACGCACACAAAATAATAGCGTGCGTATGAGCGCGCACGTTTAGGGATGATTGAAAATAAAAAAAATGATTGTGTAATCAATGGAGATGAGAGATGTGGATAGATGAATGGGTGAGCGGAGAACAACCATTCACTTGCCCGCCTAATGTCGTCCAGAGTTTGGATTTCGGGGGAGAGGCCACCGTGAACGCAGAGGAATTGCTGGTTCATGAGAGCCGCCAGGGGAAGACAGTCGAACGCATCCATGCAGGCGTTGTACACCTCGTTGTTGTACTTTATTCGGCCTGTCAAATAAAGTAATAAAAAGGTCAGCACCTTGGCTTAAGGAAAATGGAAGTCGCAGGATTCGGTGAAATTCGCATAACAGGACAAGTTAAAGGCGTGGGGAAGGACTTTTGGACGACAGCTAAACTAATAACGCCTAACTTATTAAGATGGCTAATTATCCTTTCCGGCAACCACTGTCAAAAGTAACAGTAACTGCAGCTTGTTAGAGCCAAAAAATTGCAAAGGGGGAAGGGAAGTGAAATACAGCAACGTGCGGTACACCAGCCAATTCTGTTAAAACTGCTGGTCTCGCAATGAGTATGCGAACAGCAAACGAATAAACACGCTATCTTCTGTAATATTTTACAACACGGGAAAATTTTGTAGGTTGTAGACACCCGTTTCTTTACCCCGAAGACATCTCATGTGATTGGTTGAAGGGGGAAACAAAATGTTCACCTCCAATCCGCCTTGATACAAAGTGACACTTAAACTAGGAGACAAATGTGTCAATTCTTCCGAGTATAATCCTATTTCTGGTCAATCAATGAGGAAATCACTTACGCTGCCTCCATACTAAGAAAATGTCGCAGCTAAGCTAGTAAGAATCAAAAGGAACAAATGTTTGGTCGAGTAAATGTACACTTATCTGTAAAAGAAATGAAAGACGCCTTAACATAAAATGAGCTGGCCAACAGAAGTTAGGGAATGAGCAAAGCACCATCTACCTACAAACAAGCCATTTCAAACATAGAGAATATAGATTCAAGAAAGCAACGTACATTCTTGTTTAAAGGTGAAGTACTCAGTCAGGTGCCGACACTCGTGGTTGCCTCGAAGGAGGAAGAAGTTGGTCGGGTGGAGAATCTTCAAGGCCCAGAGGTACAACACACACTAAAAGAGTAGAGAAGTAGAAAAGATAGGTGAAGAGATCAAACTAGATTTCTTTTAGGCGTGGCAAGGCGCGGCACAGCGCACTTGCCACAAGAATGTCCTTTCTCTCGCAACAAGAAACTCTGTCACGTGACAGCCCAATACATCCCACTGACCGGGTCTACAATTAAATACTACCATTGCCAGTTTTGATGCTGCTTATTTTGCATGCGATCACAGAACATTCAAATTTTGATGATGATTAAATAAGCTAAGCAAACGGCAATGGGTTGCTAGTTCTGCCGTTCAAAAGTCAGATAAAAAGGGTACACAGACTGAATGCGATAGAAAAGCAAACAGACAACGCTCTCACAACTGGTAGAGAATGGAGTTCCAGTTGTCATAAAAGAGGAATAGAGCCCATTGATATCACAAAAACAACAGCACCGACAGCGTCAATCAAGAGATTGAAATGTTATATCAATAATTGAGCCGCAGACATTTGTTGAGAGTAATGATTAAGATCTTGGGTACTAAATGTACAATTTGCATTAGGTGTTCAGAGATTCCATTTCGATAGGGTCTTAGCAATTATTAGAAATTGCAGTCATGATCTGATAATTTGTCAGAGCGCATTTAATAACTCAATAACTCCATAGATCCGTCAATATGCCTTCGTCAAAAACGCACAAATTTCCAGCAGACGGCTTGAAGCTTCGACGCCATAGTACTTAGCCGGAAAAAAAGACCACGGGTCTGACGTTAAATAAAGTCGATGGATGAACAGTGACTCGAGTGTTGCAATTGAAACAGGAAACACGACCTCATTAATGAGATTGTCAAAGCCAAATAAACAGTTAATCACAATTAATTTAGTGCTACTTGGGCTAGTATTGGAAAGTTATGCAAGGCAATCCACATAGGGTTTGCAGAGGCTCATACCTCCAGACGTCGCGATGTGTGCACACGTGGATAAGTGTTTCATTACACTAGCATAATAGGCTGTGGAGCACATTGGTCATGTGTGCATAGATAAGGTGATTCAGCGAGCAATTTGAGGAAAGGCGGGCATACATTACCGTCTGTTCCCCTATTTTTTCTCATTCGCCCTAATGGATGTCATTATTGAAACGCTAAAACCGGCCTGCGACAACTGTTAGTAAGACAAAACCAGTCTAGCGTGCTAAACTGAGCACTGGGCGACCCTGCGACTGAGTCCAGAAGTGTAGGGTAATAAAGCAAGCGGTACGAACCTCATGATGCTAACAATAAAAAATGAGAGAGGAAACAATAACAACGATATTAACAGTCGTATCAATTATGCGCGAAAAGAGTAGCAGAAGGGTCGTCGGTGCTGCCGTTTTTGTGGTAAATGAAGTTGTGTGAATACCACTAACTATTAGGCCATGGAGGAAATGTCGAGAATCTAGATTGGGATTCGATTGGTAAGGTACGATTGTCCGACTGAGTTGGCAAATAAGAAACAAGAGAAGTATTACTCTGATCTAATGTGGAGGGGAAACATGCTTATCAAATGTACTAAGGTCAATCAAGTAAGAGCAACGGGTACAAATAAACAAACAAATCATTATTGCAAGAACTAGACTGAGAGCTTATCGAAAGGATGCAAAAATTTATATTGAGTGACAAAAGGAAATGAATGAAGACAAGAGTAAGATCTATCACTACTATTTAATGAAACACGGCGCCAAGTTAAACGAAACAAAATAAATGAGTCCTTTGTGGATTGGCAATTGAATTTATTGCTAAACCTCCACCAACGCCAAGTCACAGTAGTTTATCATCCCCTCTTCAATGAATAACGAGACGCTATGACCTAGTGAAGCATTTCGAGTATGCAGAAAAGCGACACCACAGATGAAACGGTCGAGAAGGAACATAAGGAATTAACTGTACAAAAAATGAAATTCTTTTCACTAACGTACTGGTTTATTTCACTGTTGGTATCCAAATAGAGACAAGAGATCTTATCACAAGGCGCACAGGAATGAAAGGCATTGATAAGACAAAGTGCTCTACAATCTTAAGAGTTTAGACGCACTCCGGTCTGACAAGTTCAAACATAGTTATTTTGATTTGACCGAAGTCAAGGCGTATTTTGGTTAGTGGTTAGTGCTGAAGAAGGTAAGGATTACTATAAACAGCAGAAATTCAGAGTCGAAGCTCCAAAGACGACAAAAAGCTGTTTAACCAGCTTTTGCCCACCATACGCAGTCCAGGGCAGCTTGTAATACCACCCTAACATGTTTCGCGTATGAAATATAACTAAGGGTGGGCAAGTGCATGTGTGCACAGCACGGCACAATTCGGCACAGCAAAGCGAACACATCGGCACGCATGCTATGCAACTGCGTCATGATGCACACAAAGAGAAAAACATTGGAGCAGACGGGGAAAGACATGTATGCCTTACAGTTCCTGCCACAAGGATAGAAATCATCCACCATGAAAGGCTTATGTCAAGGCGGCAATGAAAACGGAATTAAGCCATGCTCATGAACTAGAAGTCGTGGGTACAGCGCACAACATTGGGAAGGGCGAATACGAATCAGTAATCAAAACTTGAATTTTGGAAAAGTAAAGGACGAATTCAAACAGATGAGACCAAGGATGTACATGTGTAGTCAAAACATTTAACAATAACTCGAAGGCGAATTCGCGGAATCCCGTTTATAAAGCCAGATGATGGAATAAAGTAAAGCATGGCAGTCAAACATAGCGCATGAGAAAAAGACGCTTACCTCAATGCTAAAATACCCACGATCAACATAGTCCCCCAAGAACAAATATCGAGTAGTAGCCGGGTGCCCACCAACCTCAAATAACTTCATCAAGTCGAAGAATTGCCCGTGTATGTCGCCACAAACTAGAGCCATATGACGGAACAATGAAACGATAAGTAAACAAAAAACTCCCAGATGCAATTTTGCGTATTTCACGTTAAATGAAACTACATGTCATCTTAAGATTAGCAAAAGAACAACCAATAATAGAAAGATGAATCGAATGAAGCACATATATACCAGCAAGGAAAACAAACTCAAAAACGCAAAAAAATAGACAATAAAAACCTTAATTACAACACCCTTAAGATGAAATTCTGGCAACTAACCGGTGACAGGGGCATCAATTTCCAAAACATTCGCCTCTTCACGAAGGAGAGCTGCTCCGTCATTTATAATCTTAAGCGCTGCCTCGTCAGTAACTCGACCTTCAAGAAGGAAATGCTGCTTCAATTTTTCAATGTTTGGCTTTCCTCTAGATTCGAATATGTCATTAACTGTAAGTCTACGGCTTGGAGGATACGGGACACCTGAGGGGAAAAATGTAAATAAATACACCTACTTTTAACTGCCCTTTCAACTGTAGACATTGCTGGAGCACGAGCCGTCGTTTTCATGGTAAGATTATCAAAAATAGGACGTCAAATTCTCTAATCGAAATTAGAAGGCAGAAATACGCAATTAGGAACCCAAACAATCAGTCGTTAATATGTTGCTATGCTTGCCACCATCTTCAATGACCTTGAAGACGCTTTAATTAGTATATTTAATCAAAGGGTATCTGCTGACAAAACTCCACAAAAGGTTATCAATTGGAAAAAGTTTTAGTTAGCTTTCTTAATGCAATTACAACTATTGGTAATTAAATTATAGTGCATATTTCCTAAATTACTGGCTCGATATGCATTAAAGGCCAGTTTAGTTTCCTGAATTAATATATGTATTCATTACTTAATAAAGGCAAGAGTGCCGATTTTTCGAATAGCATCTGTTGTAATTAGTACTACAAACAACTGCATTAAAAGCATGCAACGAATTAAAGCCTATCGGTCTACATTATATAATCACTATCATATCTACGAATGCAGATGATAACATGAATCATGCTTTAGAGGATGACTTACTCATATGAAAGCCAATACAAATCGATTTTGCCCTTTTCCACGACCATACATGAAGTTAGCATTCCTGGAATTCTGCAGATCATAGGAGTCTCATTACTCAAATTTGGACATGCATCCAAAAAGACAGGATTATTGTTCCCCTGCCATGGATTAGCGGTATTTCGTCACTCGATTTCCTGTCCAAGTGGCGGTCTCCTCGACATCTGCTTTGCCTGCCTCTGTCCTGCGAAACTGCCCTCTAGTTGTTCCGAAGTCCTACTTCTGCTCTTTCTACCTGAATGCAAGTATACAGTTAGATCTCATGCCTTTTATGATCAAATTCGCCACGCAGGCAGGATCATTCCATAGCGGCTCAAACCGCTCCCACCTGCAATTAAACAAAACATTTCCTGTGGTACCTCCGAGGCACTCCAAAGTAGACAACAATCTGAAGACAGAATTTGCAATGTCCGCATGGACAGACTACACCCCCATCTATCAACCATTTAAGGAAACTCGACCAAGCAGCCCTACTCGATGTTCGTTTCGCCAAAACAGCACCACCACAGAAAACCATTAGGTGTTCAGCCGCCACACTTTCTCAGTGCCGATAGCATGCTGATGTGATTTTGTCCACGTGCCTAATCCACGTTAAGTGTCAGATGACTCCAGTCCAGAGCTACGAGAGGGACGATTTGAGAAGACAGCCAGAGCCAAAACAATCTGTGCCACAAAATCGAAATAAAGCCTCCTTCGTTCGACCACTTGTGGCACGGAGCTTCAGTCTTAGGCCCGAAAACCTTAACATCAATGCATCCAACCAATCCGAATCATAATTGATTTACCCGAGATTGTGGATACATCACCCTCATATCCTGGAGAATTGCCCACACATCACAGTCCAAGTTGGTCTTCGAAAGGGAATAATTCATGTCGCCGGAAAGAACACACAAGAGCCAAATGAAGTCAAGAGTACAACAGACGATCATACAATTGATTACCCCCATGAAATACTGACGAAGGGCACGCGCCACCATAGTTTAGAAATGCCACTCCGAACAGAGGAACAGAATGGCGTAAGAACTTCGCATAACAGAAAAGTGGATTAAGCTTAAATTACTGACTTAAATACGATGGATAGGCATCCGCTAAATCGTTGCAAAGAAACACAAGTCAGCATGGACAGTGTACGAGTGCGACTCCCTGCCACGAACTCACCCAAGGGCTGTAAGTACCCACAAAGTTTATTATCTTCGCCCGCAAAATGATAACCAGATGAGTACGCATCTTCAGCTGAAAAGAATGGTGCCTTGCCTAAGGAACCAAAGCGGCACATTTAATAAACCTATAAATCTGCCTTTAGGAAAGCATTTGGGTCGGAGTGGGTAGGTAATGCGCAGAGGCACCGGAAACGGAGCAGGGGGACAAAAATTTCAGGCGGAAAGGCGCGAAAGAAAAGAGGTTGATAATTACAAAAGGTTCGATTAAAATCTGGACAAAACGCGGAAAAGGACGCAAGGGTAAGTACGACCATCAGGATGAGCACCTAAAAGTTGTGGAAATGCAGCCGGAACATAGAGTGGAGGATAACAACCCTATCGCCGACTTTTTTAAGTAGGAAAAATTCCGAAAAAGGCAGAGCTTGTTCTCCATTGTCAACCTGAGAAGCGGAAAAACGGACATTCGTGTGAATGATAATTACAGCACCAAAAAAGCCTGACATACCTTTAGCTGACCATTGACAAACACAAGGTAGCCATTGTCAACGGGTTGACAATCACAAGTGCTGACATTTACGGCAATTGTGGTCCAACAAAGACTCTAAAAGACACTCGTATGAAACACAATTTAACAAACTTGAAAATGTTTTGCGATGGCCTGTTTTCCTTGGATTTTGGTACCTTCGTATGTCATTAAGGCCATATCCTGTCGAGATACAAGTCAAGCAGTGATAATGCACGTACGTGATACATATCGACCACGTTATTACGATTCAACTGCAACTGCTCATAATAAGTTTTCACAAAGACTTCACCCAGTGTATCGAAGTCGTTGGGAAATGCAGCGAAATACGCGTCCATGTGGGATGTGCAGAAGGCAACAAGTCAGCCCCTGGGCTATATGCGTGAGTAGCTAGAGTTGTAGTAGTGTCACTATCAGTGACTGGGGGTACATTAATAAAAATCCATTAAAATTATGAATCTGCAATGTCATTATAGCAAACAATGTAAGATTATAATATTATTACATTATTATATTAGTGTAAAAATGGGAAGACTACTAATTTATCATTTTTGCAAAGGGCTTCTAAACTATAAGCCCATAATTTGTAAACTATTTTTACATTTATTAACTGTCTGAATCCGACCAAAAGAACGGAATTTTGGATGGAATACACGAGCTAAATAAATATAGAAATTGATCTTAAAAATTGTAGAAGCTATGCATGGGCTAGTCTTTTACAAGCAAGGCATCGTTTTGCACTTAGTTTGTTAAGACTATGAAAGACTTCTACCACTGATAAAAGTGATACAAAACATGCTGTATAAAGTCCCGAGACTCCCCCATGCATGGAAGAAGGCACCAAGCAAGGCTAAATACGCATATGTAAAACTTTATTTGGCGGTCCCATAGGTTGGAAGAAGGCATAAGTGGGATTGAATACATGCATTCCGAAAACGACAGGGCAAATGGGGGCTGAGAGTGACCCGAAGGTCAGCACATGTGTACAGGGATCAGAAAAATTCTAAAGTGACCGCCAAATATCAGGTAGTCACATAAGCAAAGCATTACACATTAGACCTTGACTTAATCCAAGGGCTAGCCCATGCAGCCAAGCGCAAGATGGAATCCAAGTGGCCATCATTCACACATGTTGTAGCATTCCGAGACTTCCCATTAGTTTGAAGGAGGCAGTCAGTTGATCTAAATGGATGTATTCTAAGAAAATGAGAAGAAAATTAAACCTTTGGTTGGCCCAAAGTCCAGTCTACGATGACAAGGGCAAGACGAATAACAATGTAGGCGTCAGAAATCAGGTAGCCATATAAACAAAATATTACACGGGTAGTTGCATGGACTAGATTTTGTGATCTCAGATGCCAGGCATAAGTTCTATTCTAAAGCCGTGTCTGATGGATGTAAAGACGACCGCAGGGACCACATTGACTCCTTGCCCCTTCCCTTTCCCACCTACCCGCCTTGCTTGATATTAGTAATTCCCAATACGCCAAATGTAGCCCCTCGAGGAAAACTTTCTTCCGAAGGACCCTGGAGGGATGTTCCAATGCCTTGTGCAGAGCCTACTGGGAAATTTCTCATATAAAACTCTAACAACAGTCGAAGTCTGCAAAGTACAGGGGATTTCGAGTTATTAAAAACCGGCTGAATCTGTAGTAAACCTTTAGATGTAACATCATCTTAGTCCTAGTCGTAACACGTAAACATCTAATCACACTCAATAATTTTGCTGTTCGCGATCAGAAATATGTGACACTCAACATTGCCTCTAGAACATCCGATCACATGTCGATTTCACATCGCTTGTGCCAAACCTTTGTCATTATAACAGTATTTTCAGTCGTCGGATTCAAACCAGCTTACCACCTTCTGTGTCAGATGCATCAAAGTAGAGCTTAAAAAGCGAGAATTAAGGGAATGAATTTCAAGGCGCATTCGCGATCCTCAACTTTTTAAGCCTAGTTTTACCCAAACACACGTTGTACCGATTGCATGATCACTTGGATGAACTGCAGAGTTCTCCGACTCACAGCAATAATCAAGCAAACTCAGTGACTCCCCTTCAAGTTTTTGTGTTTAACCAAAATTAAACGGTGAAAGAAAACGCCTCAACGCAGATTCATTTACAATAAAGACACAAAGTGCTTAAAAAATAAAGCACCCCAAAACGAGCACCTGCCTTGAGAGATCAACCACCTTCTACCACACCTCCTTATCGCATAAGGGAAGGATGGAGTGGGATTGACAAATTGCTCGGGATGTTGCTGAAGCCATAGATGGGTTAAGTCTAAAATGCTGCAATGAAAATTCACCGACAGCGATACCTAACGAGCAAAGCAGTTATGGTACCTAAAACGAAATGAGTTGGAACCCACCCTCTCACCACTCACTCCCTTCTGCATCGTTGTTCTTGGATGTCCAGTCTGCCAATACCTTGACATTAATTGTGCCCTTAAACTGGCAAATTCAAATGATCTTCCGTGGTCCTTCTCCTCCTCCTCCTCATGCATATTATTACGACACGAGATGGCTTCCAAACTGCTGATGATTTAGTGGAAGTAGAAGTAGACAAGAGAACGACATGAAGAGACATTCAGGCAGGTTACTTAAACGAAGTGGATTGTAGGGCAAAGCAGCCGCATTCGGAAGGGAAAGAGCCATTGGTCACGCCCTCTATTTCTGCTTCTCGCTGGCCGTATAGCGGGACTGCCGAGGTTAGTGAATCGCCTGCCCGAAGGATTGAGAAGGAAAATTTGGTTCGACGTCGGTTACAA